AATATGCATGGGCAGGGTACGGGTAGGGAGTGGGTGCGGGCCGGGGGCCCAGCACTCTGGGGCTAGGGTTTGGGTAAGGTGAGTTCCAGGAACTTTGGACGTCCGTTGGCGGTCGTTGTCTCGATCCGCCGTTTGAGCGCCCTTGACCACGACCCCGGTTGCCGTTGCCACGCCCTTGTCCGCGTCCAAAACCGCTGCGCTGTCCCGAGGAAGAGCCATCGCCAAAATTGCTGCCAAAAACACGATCCACACTGCCGGCATGAGGAGCACCGCGGCTGCCACCCCCGCTATGCTGACCGCCGGTGAAACCACCGGCGTCCCGACCTGCCAGCAACGCCGTGCTGCTGGTTCCGCCCAGGGGAGTCCGCTGCCGATCGAGGATGAGGAGAGCCGATCGTACCTGGAGGAAACTCGGCATGGGATCCTGGAACTGGAGAAACGAGGTTTGTGCCTGTAGGTCGTCGGGGAGTCCTCGCAGCAACTGGAGAACCAATTGGTGTTCAGATACAGGAGCATCTACATCGTCCAACCAATCCGCAATATTCCTGAGCTCTTGGAAATACGTAGCCATGGGAGTAGAGCCTTTGATGGTGGTGCGAAATTGATGCTCGAGTTGCATGGCCCGAGCATGTTTGTTATCGTGAAACAGGTCATGAATCACCGTCTAGAGAACAGAAGCAGTAGAAACAGAGGAAATAACTAGATCAGAAACTTCATCAGTGATGGTGGAGAGAATCCAGCCCTGGAGGATGGCGTCGAGCTGAAACCATTCATCGTCGTCGTCGGAGATGGGAGCAATAGAGCCGTTGAGATAACCCTGAAGGTTGAACCGCTGTGCAAGAAGAAGGAACAAGCGGCTCCACTTTTTGTAGTTCGGTTGAGAAAAGCTGAGTTGGATTGGAACATGGAATTTGACATTGGAGACGGAGAAAGCCAGATGTGGAGATTTTTGGGTGGAGGATTGAGAGGTGATTTCACTTTCAGCCATTGTAGGAGGGGGAGGAGGCTGTCGGCCGTGAAGAGAGGAGAAGGGAGATGGCGGCGCAGGTGTTGGTTCGGCGTAAGGGGAGGGCCGAAACTAGGGAAGATATTTTAAGGTTTTAGTTAGGCTCTGATACCATGAAAGAAGTGGAATTTTCATTGATGAATTATGAGAGGAATACATGTATATATATACAAAGTCTCAATCCTAGTTATGGTAGGAGAAATATTCTAGGAAACTATACAACTATGGAAACAAATCATAATACAATAATATTAAATATATTTTATATATTTAACACTTTTCATGTATTTTTTTATTTAATGATCATAAATATATTTAATATTTTTTAACAATAAATTTGAAAACTAATTTGGTTTTCCTTTGTGGATGACAAATCAAGAAACAACATAAGGAGTAGTTTGTAGGATCGTTTGCTTTAACTGTGAAACTCTTGAGCTAGTTGAGATAAGGGGTGAAGAAAGGTAGAGATATAAGTTGAGTTCTAATTTATAATGCTTAAAGGTTTGTAACGTCTACTCATTAGTTACCTTATTATTTCTTCATCAAAGATGGTACCTAAAATTATTAGTCAAGGGCTACTAGTAAAGATAGAATACCAAAGAAAAACAGTTGCATTAAAAAAACCTTGAAGAACACTGATCAGATCATATTCATCAACTGCTCCCATCACAAAGAAGTGGAGATCTTGAACAAATTTGTAGATGACAATGTTGTTATCAAGCAGCGTTATGTCCGCTTGCAGATCAAAGAAACACAGCACTAGTTCATTCAAATCATTGTACATGTAGCAGTAAGCCTAAAACATTATACAGTTACAGCGAGGATATGAACCTTAAGTGCGAGCATTGGTCTTTTGAGTGTTTGTAAAGACAGACTTTTGAAACACAAGCTTAGCGCTCTTCGCAGACAGAGATTGAATCAAAGATCCAGTTGAATTTTTCGCCCAATGATAATAAATGAAACACTATGATCTATAGAGATTGTATGAGAGAAAGAGACTTGGGTGATCGAGAGTGAAAGGAGACATTGAAAGAAAACCATACAAAGGAGATTCAATTCTCGCGGATGAACCGCCACCGAGTGAAAATCATACAAAGAATGTATTTGGATTTGTAGTTAAGCTATACCATGAGTGAGAGGAATTTGGCTAAAATTGAAGCCCAAATTTTTGGGATTTCCAAACATGGCATTTGAGACAACTTATATTAGTTGGGACTTCCTTCTATCAAAGGAATACAACGGGCTTTAAGGTTCATAAGCTTGGGCTCATAAGAGGAATCAGCAGCAGCCATTTCACAATGCTTGGCAGCATCAGATACATCACACATCCATCCTGTTAATCAAAAGTACCAAGCACGACAGAGCATTTGCAAACAGAATCACTTAATCCCAATATAAGGAAGTACTTCTTCCCCTTCAACTGGAATAAACTCCAATGAAGAAACTCCAATTGCATACCTTCAAACATATCACTGTAGCAACACTTTCTGTCATAAGATCATAGTGTCATTATGGCTATTGTTAAGCGGGTGTGGTGATTTGTTTGAACGGTTCGTTTGACAGCTAAACTGATTTTAGAATTTCTTTTTGTACTTAGATCAGAGTTTCTAAGGAAACTGCTCACACGGTCATGCAAGAAACACCGACAGCGGCTAAGGAGCTCGATCTTTTAAAACCTTAGGTCTGGCTTCCTTCACAAAGAAATCAAAAATTTGTTAATAAATTGTAAGCATTGTATTTTCTTCATGTGTTATTTGATTACTGACTTTTACTTGGGGAGTTTTAGACAATAATAACCACACAGGAGATAATTGTTAGTATATCCTTTTTATAAACATCCCACATACACAGAGAATACAAAGAAAATGTGAAAATGATTGTTGATGAATAAGGAACGTGTATATCAGTCATTAGATCTTAGTTTAATTATTCTAAGTAAAGACAAATAACATATTACAATATGTGATGTGGTTAATAGGTCCATTAGTTCATATATGCTGGGTTTGTTCATTGTTGTGATAAATAGCTGCAAGTCATTCATGGCCGGTTTAATATTGTGGAGGGGGTTATGGCTAGTAATCACATCATCATTGGTGATTTGACTCTTTTTATGCAATAGATGTTAAGAGATCATTGTTTTGATAAAATAGAATTCTTTTTGTGCGTTTATTTTCTTTTGTATCATTTTCTTGCTACTAAAAAAAAACCTTCACACACGACATAACAAAGCATTGTTCTTTCAAAAAACAATTGTTGATATGAGGAATAAGTTAGAGATCACAGAAATAGAGAAAATGAAAGACTTTAGACAGTCATGATTGATGAACTAATAGTACATTTAATTTTAGCCTTCACAAATGAAATGAAAATGAGAATTTAAGAGGGAATATGTTTTTTTCATAGTTCTGGCACAACCTTATGTGTTTAGAGGAACACCAGACAATATAAAGTGCATGTAAATATATTACCGGAGCTAAGTTCTCAAACCTCCGGGATAGGTAGATCACAGATTCAGTTGCACCAAGAAGAGGAGATCATGAAACCAACCAAGCAAAGACATTAATCTAAGCTAAGTTGTGACTGTATTCTACAAACTTGAGTCTTAATAAAAGAAAAATGTACGAAGTAGTAAACAAAAAATAAAATTGCAAATGAATAAAATAACAGCGTCAGGGTAGCAGTCCACCAGTTGTCCTGCACAGCACTTTCTGTGTATCTATCTTAACATCAACATCTACACTTGGGATGGTTGTTGAACTAAAATCTATCCATAGCCTTAATAAAATCTATGCATAGCCTTAATAAAACATATCAAACATAATTTAGCAGTTAAAATGTCTTGTTTTTTATTACAACCGCCTGGGAGACTGCTTGGGCAGTCCAGTGTCTTCCAAATCCTGTTTCCCCTTTTCCATTGATTGCTTATTGTCATGCATGGATGCCCAAGCTACAACCACCCCAGCAAGGGTGCCTAGTGTCCCAATTAAGCCCCATCGGTGGGTTTTGGTGGATGCAATAGCAGGAGCTTGAAGCAGTTCATCATTCTTCTTTAACGGATTTGTTTGCCTCTTCTTTAGCTCTTCCATCCTTATCATATGATGCAACGAAGCCTCTTGAAACTTCAGATTGATAACCTACAACAATTTTTAAACATAAAAAACGCTTAAAAATCAAAGAGAGAAAAACGATACCTGAGAAGCATTATATATAGTTATCATATACCTTGATGTATTTATCAAGGTCAAAATCCAGAGCAGAGTCTTTAGCACTATGATTGGTTCATGGAATTTGAAAAGGAAAAGAAAAGAAAATGAAGTGGAAAACCATTTTTCTTGTTTATTTAGAGGGAAAAAGAAAAGAAAAGTGGAAGGAAAAGAAAATGAGGAGGCAAAATGTACCAAGTGGAGGGAAAATGAAATTCATTCCATTTAGGTGAGGAAAATGAGAGAAAACCATTTTCTTTTCTTTTCTTACCAAAATCCTTGAGCCAAACATAGTGTAGGTGTATCCTGGAAAAACAGAAGCACAGACCAAAACCTGGAAAAAAATCAAAGATACAAGATACAAGAAAAAAAACAGATACCCAACAAAAATATTATTCAGAAACCCTCATAGAAAAATCAAACGCCACGATTTGTCTAGATCATCCACATAGAATAAAAATACATTATTCAAAGAACAGATTTCAAAAGAGATAATCGCATTTTGGGTGACAAATATTCAACTTACACGTTTTGTTTGATCCTAAAGTTAACTAAACTAGCGACGTATAATTGACGTGGGACGAGGATGAGTTAGAGTCAAGAGTAGTGGGGGAGTTTATCGGGGAGGAGATAGGGAGGTAGGAACTATCATTTTTAAGAATGAAGCACTGTGGTGTCTCAATTGGGACGATGTCCTCAATATCCACACGAAAAGAGTAGCCATAACTTGGCCGTCTAAAATACAACGCTACTCCACTCAAAATGAACATTGCATTACTGAGGATATTCAAATAAATAAAAATATTCAAGGAAAATAATGAAATAGAAAAGTCAAGAGGATATAAAAAGGCGAGATCTTATGATCACTATTGTTGGCCTTGAATGCCGAAACTCACCGCGGGTTTGATGTTCCAAATAAGTATTCCAAGTACTGAACTTTTTGTAGGTTAAACAAGACACCCAAACCTCTCCTAACATGGTTGATTTCACCAAGACAAGATTCATTCGAGTTTAGATATGAAAATGTAAGAGCTTGATATTTTGTTGTTACACTTACGCACTTACACTTAAAAATACATTTTCCAAAAGTTTCCAAACATTGTTTGGTTGGGTCGTTTTCAAAAAATTGGAACAAAATCAATTTTGTGTTGAAAACAGGCCATACAGTACCCCATACCGTGCCAACGGTACCTTGCTACCATTAGGCACCTAGGCACAGCAACAAGGTCCCGCCCAGAAGACTTGGCCAAATTTCCAAAGGGATCAAACGGTACCTCATACCGTTACCCGTACGTACCTACCGACCGTAATAATGGAGATCAATTCCGTTTGCACTATGGCAGTACCCCCTACCGTGAGCCTACCGACCGTTAGTCAGAGAAGCAGCCTAAACTCTATTGTAGCGGTACCCTATACCATTTCAACGGTACCTAGTTACTGCTTGAGGCTTAGGAAATCTGAGTTTGAGTCTTCAAACCGGACCCCTCACAGGACACCCTACCGCCTGTAGCGGTACCCCCTACCAGTACGGTACCAACTTACTGGTAGAGGTACTGGATTCGTTTGGCTACTTTAGCTGATTGATCTTATTGATCTCAATCACCCCTAAGTGGCTCCCAACATCTCTCTAACATCTCCAACCCATTTTTCAACTTCCTAAACACTACCTCAATACATAACAACATCCCTTAACATACAATACATTCAAAAAGCTCCTTCTTGATTTCTTGAGTGCTTTAAGCTTTAAGTTCCTAATTTTTCATACATCTTTTTGAATAACGCTTTGCTCTTTATATTTTTTACACACACACCAAAGGCTTTGTGTTTTATCATTTATATCTTGCTCATAGGCTATTGTTGTTGTTTTTATAATTTGTTTTCTCCTACCCAATCATATTATTTATTATCTTGGTAGAGAAGCAACAACCACTTTTCATTGTTTTGTAAAAGGTGCGGATAGCATTTAAATCCTCATTGTAAGGTTGAATATCGCCTTTAAATCTTCGGTCTGAAAAATGGTTGAGATAGCTGGTGTAAAATCCCATTTGCTTATTGGCAAGGGTTGTTTGCCAAACCTCGTTTGTCTTCTTAGTGAAGCCAAACAAGTTAGAGGAGGTTAAATCCTTGAGGAGGAGCCTCGAGGTACTAGACGTAAGGAGTTCCCCAACCACTATAAAATCGATTGTGTCGTACTCTTGTTTTTCCTTGCTCCTTTTCCGCTATTCTTTTTTGCACCTAAGTTTTTATTTTTACGAAAACTTTCAACTATCTTTGAGTGGCCACAGAGAATACCATTCTTACAATATCGGCTCACAAAATTGATAGGTTCTATCGTGATAAACTACCCACCGAGTCCCGACCTCAACACATCTCCACACGCACGTCAATTACTCCTCAGAAGTTCAATTGACTTTAGGGTAAAATATTTTGATCCCAAAATTAACTAAATTGGCGAGATACAATTGACGTGGGAGGAGTATAGGTTGGAGTTAGGACTAAAGGGGGAGTTTACCGTGGGAGAGGAGGTATGGAGGTAGAAACTATAAATTTTACGAATGAAACATTGTGGTGTCTCAATTGGGACGATCCACACAAAAAGAGTAGCCATAACTTAGCCGTATAAAGTATAATACTACTCCACTCAAAGTGAACATTACATTATTGAGGATATGATCTTAGATAGAATTATTTGGAGATCTAGAACTAGGATTGTTGGATAGTCATTTTGAACAGGGAAGTAGTTTCTTCTCCTTGTTGTGTGCTTTGTAAGCTTGTGGTCATTCTACTTACATATGTTTATGTGTATTTTATATTAGGATTCTTATCCCACTTTTCTTACCTGTATGTTTACTTTTTAGCTTTTGTGGTACAAGTTATTCTCTATGTTGCTTGAGCCGAAGGTCTCACGGAAACAATCGTTCTACTTTTAGTAAGTGATAATATTTGATAATAATTTGTCTTATTAAATAATGAAGGATACATCCCTATATATAGGGATCACATGAGAGAGATCTAATCATAAGAAGAGAACAACTATGTTAACCATATATTAAGGAAACAATAAATACGGAAGGTAATAAATAATAGTGAAACTTACACTAAACGGTAGTAAATATGTCTTTTCTCAATGTAGTACCTTTAAATTTTAATTCCCTAAATAGTACTTCAATAACATCTAGTGGCGGGAAAAATGTCTAGCGATTGTGCACATTTAGTTTGAAAAATGTCCAGTGCAGTGGATATTTACTTCAACAATGACTAGTAGATATTAAACAGTGATATTGCATTGAGAAAATAAAAACAAATGTTACTACATTGGGAAAGTCATTATATTTAAGTACTATTTAGGTAAATTCCCGCAAATAATAATATATATTTCCTATTATTCCCCCGCAAGCTGAACAACATAGAGGAGGGGCAGCTTAGAACACAAGTACTTCAAACAAAGTGGTTGGAAGCGATTTTGTCAAAAGATCAACTGGTTTCTCAGAGTACGGAATATGATGAGTGGAGATTGTACCAGCTATAACTTCATCTCCAACAAAGTGACAATCCATGTTTCATACAATTATGTAGAATAAAATAATTTGTGTCACAGATGGTAAATAAATAGTCACAATAACTTGTCAATTTTGACGGAGGAATGCTAAGTGCATCTGTAATAAAGCGAAGCCACATGGCCTCCGCTACCCCTGCGGCCATGGCGCGATACTCAACTTTTGTGGAGGAACGGGAGACACGAGTTTGTTTTTTTATGCACAAAGAGATAAGATTTGGAACAAGCATAATAAGGTAGCCAATAGTTGAACGACGATCACATTTTTCGTTAACCCGAGTAAATAACCACACGTGTAATGATTCAAAAACTGGCTTCGTAGCTAGCCGTTATTTTAATATAAATAAATATAATATTTATTTACTAAAAAATATGAAGTATTTGTATAGTTGACCTTTTCTATTTAAAAATTATATTTTTGGACAGATCTCGTAAAATGGTGACCAACGATATATAATTTGTTAAGTGTGGCTTTTGTGTAAAGCGTAATTAGTAAAATAGACATCACAATTCAATAAATAAATATAAAGATATTTATAATAATATAATACTACCTCCGTCCCACTATATTCGTCTACTTTTGACTTTTGGAACTGTTCATCTAAGCACTTTGACTCATCAAATTCTCTCAATGTGTAAGCCTAAATATAGTCATGTGTGATTTTGTTTGATTTGTCTTAACATATAGATTATTAATATATAATTTCTATAATTTTTTAATATAGAAATTACAAGATAAAATAGAAATCATCCTAAATAGGACTAAAACATAGAAAAAAGTATCAAAATAGGACTTTCATGTTTTTTTTCCCGATATAGGACTTTGCATTGTGGTAATGTGACTCTGCATTGTAGTAATGTGGCAGTGTACATGTGCAAATTACTATACTTTCTTGATAATGTATATGACCATGTTTGGTAATGTAAGTCCTATTTCGGGAATAAAAACAAGGAAGTTCTATTTTGGTATATCTTCAATGTTTTAGTCCTGCTTTGGTCTTTCTCCCAAGATAAAATGGATTAAAGAAGTGCATTGGATGGTGTGTAAAAATGAAAGTGGACAAATACTCTGGGACGGAGGGAGTAATAACAAATTAATAAGCTTCCTAACTCTACCCAACATCCGTACCAACCCAGCCCCCTTATTAACAAATATATATTCCCTCCGTCCATAAATAAACTTCCCGTTATGCGCTATGATGTTTGACTGAAGTTATTTTTAAATTATTTTATATGAAAAATGGTGTGAAATTTTAAAATAAAAATTACATATTAAAATATTATATCAAAAGATCTATAAAACTAGAGGTGACATGACTATATTATTTTAGCAAAAGGGTAACAAAAATAGGCCAACAAAGTTAATAAAATTTGACCCTGTGAATAGTGAACTAGAAGTTTATTCGTGGACGGTATACACGCATGTCCAAGAGAAAAAAAGGCAGCTGCACATAATCGCACAAAAAAATAGACAAAAGTTGTGCGCGGGGTGGAAATGTGATCAGTTCGGCGCGAAGGAAGACTCGCTCCCGCCGCTGCCTGGGTCACCGGGAACAGCCAATTGACCGTTGTGTTCATTGTTTTACCCGTTTGATTCATTTAATTTGTCTAATAATAGAGGTGAGTACGTGGAGATGTAACGCTAGATTATTTGTATAGGTTTAAAGTTTACATTCCTAATCTCGTATGATCGATTATGTCGAATTTGATATTTATTTAATTATAATTTGAATTATGGTTTATTCAAAATATATGATGTTATTGGAATTGATTGATCGGGAAAGACCAGGTATATTTTTTTCTCTAATTTGTGTGATTTGTGTGTTAATAATCTCTAAAAACATTATACGTATTGAATGGTTTGGAATTGGATCAAACTCGACTTTTTTTATGTTTTCCCGATGTCACACAATAGCTCGGTACTGCCAGGCAGTACCCTGCTACCGCCGCAAGCCAGTCAAGAGTAGTGGGGGAGTTTATCCGGTGCCTAACCAATTCAAGATTTCATTTTCTTGGAAAAAAGATTTTGAGAAATTGGTTATCAACAACCCTGCACCCATTCAAAATGGTTTTTATGTAGCCATACGAAAAATTTAGACTAACACTAGTCCTGGCTTGAAATCTACTAATGATATAAGATGTTTTTTACACTTAATGAGGAATATTTTTACTCATCTTTGTGATGAATTAAATGGAAAATTAAAGCTTTTGACTAATTCACATCAAGCCAATGAGTTCATGCTTGAGTAGAGAAGACACAAAAAGTCTAGTTTGAACGCATGCATGAACTCCCAAATTGCATTGACTTAATGAGAATTAGCCAAAAGTTTTAATTTTCCAGTTAATTCACCATAAAGATGAGTAAAAATATTCTTCATTAAGTGTGAAAAACCTCCAATATCATCAATACATTTCAAGCCAGGACTAGTGTTAGTCCAAATTTTTCATATGGCTACATAAAAAACATTTTTAGTGAGTGCAGGGTTGTTGATAACTAATTTCTCAAAATCTTTTTTCCAAGAAAATGAAATCTTGAATTGGTTAGGCACTGGAACAATTGAATTGTTTATATCCAGACTTAGCACCATCTTCTCAACAAATATCTCGTTCCACAATGCTGGGTGATGCAAGATAAATTCATGCCTTTTCCTGCAATAAAACACAAATTATATGTGTGTGTGTGTGTGTTGTTCATCATCAAAGAAAGTACTATCAAACCCCTAACAGTACGAACAAAAAATATAAACTATAAGGGACTCTTTATTTTCTAGTTAGACTGAAAGCAAATGAGTATGTGGACAGGTGTGTCATGTGTGTGTGTGTGTATGTTTCTGTGCTTGTGTATGGTAGAGAATTCAACTCGTACAATATGTGCTATCTGTTTATTGTAAATTGTATTATTGATTTGACTGATGTGTTATGTTTGTGTTAAAATGGCAGTGATTGTCCTATCCTTTTGCTAAAGCCTCTGGTTAGCTGCTCTTTTACAAGTATGAACCATGGTTTAGGTGCTACTCATGCTAATTTGAAGGCAACAAGTGACATGAACTTCAACTTTTGGCAGTGGATCCTAGAAGAGTGACATTCTGCATATGATTTCAACACATGCAGATGGGGCCTAATCTTTTGCTATCTAAGAGATGTTTTTTCAAGCTAGATTATGTTGATCCTTGTGAAGCTTATCATGCTGTGTGGTTTTAGGCTAGATTTTTGTATATCTTATCTATGTTATTTAAACTTGTTTGATTGGTTTTTTCTAAGTTTTGGAAAGGCTATTGCAATCCATGATAATGGGTTTTAGGTTGGGGTATAATATTGACTTTGGTTTTTACCTTATTTCTCGAGGGGCATTGGCTTGGTCCTCCCTTCTTGTAATTGTTTTACTTTATTTTATCAATAAACTTGATTCTCTCTCTGTGTGTGTGTGTGCGCGTGTCTACACTAGAAGAAATAAGGTCTTTAGCAACATTTAATTTGCCACATGACTACGTGCGGTAAAAATGTAACTCTTTATAATTTTGCAACACTTATAAAAGAAGTTATAAATAAATGTATACACCTAAATAGCAAAGAGTGCCAAAACGTAAATTAAAAAAAATGTATACCACCCAACTTTTCATCCATTGCTCAAATCTAATTTTACTAAGATTGAATATATTGGCGGCCAACTTTTCCATCATTGCACTCCTAATTAACCCCAAATTAATTAACCGAATTGATCGTTTCTAAACCGTTTAGTCATATTTTTCAACTCGCGCATCATCGCTCGTTCGTTCATCCCCTGATCGAGTTCATCTTCCTTGGGTACGGTGTTTAGCATCTACTAGACTAATCGATTATTGAGGTATCGGTTTTCTTTTCATCTTTTCAAATTAGATTAGCGTTATTGGGGTATGTAATTTTGTATCGGATAAAAGCAATTCTATTTCGTAAAATAAGATCTTAGGGTCAGTTTGGTATAAGGAATTGATTTGGAATTGGAATTGAATTGAAATTGAAATTCCATGGGATTCAATTCCATAGAATTGAATTCATCAATTCCAATTAATTTTTTGAACTACCAATTCCAAATCTACATAATTTTTGTGCTACCAAACACCCCAGAATTGGAATTGAAGTCCTCAATTCCAATTCCATAATTTGAATTCCGTGTACCAAACGGGGCCTTAATGATTTTTCCCTGAAAAAATTGTATTGTATGTTATCGTTGTTGTGTCTAAATCTGTGTTCTAATACTTTAAATCTGAAAACCAGATTTGAACTGTTGCTTGTTCAATTTGCTAGCTTTATTCTCATATTTTATTGGATGTATATATTGAAACAATTACGGGCTTGAAATATTTGTTTCTTAATCTGTTGGCCTGAATTTAAGTTTCTATGCTTCTGTTTGTATTGAGCGTATGCTTCTTTATATATTGAGCAATGCTAGAGTCACAAACAAACAGTTCACGAAATTTACAAACTTGTCTTTTTAACACTTTTCTAGAAATAAGATGCACTCAAATAATAAAAGATATTTTATTTTAAAATCTACAAAAGGCAAGTTTGTGAAGTTTGTGAATTATATGTTTGTGACTCTAGCATTTTCCTTATATATTTGCTGGTTTTTTGAAAAGCAGGAGAAAACAATATATGTAAGCCAATTTTATATAGATGAATGAATTTGCCACTTTGATGCTTTCTTCTTTTGAGAACAATTGTTTAATCAGGCATTATATTGAATATTAGTGCTCAACATTTGAATATAATTTTATACTTTACTTTTTAATGGTATAAGTTTGGGTGTCACTATTCTTGTATTATTTTTTTGCAATATGATGGAAAATGAGTAAAACAATTTGTTTGGAACTTGTAGGTTCCAAACAAGGATAGTAGAACAAATAGCAACAATAGATGCTGGTTCTTGAAGTGATTGTAACACCCTAGATTTCTGGTTTTTATAGACACACTTATTAGGTTGTTTTAATTTAACTCTTCATTTTAAGATACTAGATTCTGATATGTTTACAACTACTCTTGTTTTTAGACACAAGATTTTAGACTCTTTGTTAGATTTTACTATTTCTTGGAGTTATATATATATATATATATATTAGAGGTTGGACTATTAAAATGGCCAGTTATGATTGTTAGAAGATTCTTTATGCATTTATATGGTCATGGGTTTTGCTTTGGTTTGTTGTGCCTCTGATTATGAGTTTGGCTATGATTTTATGTAGGGTGGCAGGGGAAGAATAAAGGTTTTTGGTTAGTTAATTTGGTAGGTTGTTAGGCTATTGCTTAGGGTTCTTGACAAATGACAATGGTCTATTGGACACACTTTTTTATTCCTAACACTACCATTTGATCAAGGAGTTGTCTTTGTTAGTAAGGTTAATGGCTTTGCTTGAGCTTCTACTTTGTATTTGAGATTGTGAGGGTTGAATTTCAGGCCATAACAGCAGGGAACTTGTTCAGCTTTTGGCTATTGGGAGATCATTGGTCATATGGCTTCCCAACGAAAACACCTAGTAACTTCACTTGGGAGCGAATAGTCTGAAAAGGAAGATGGATCTGAGGTTATGTCTTCTGTAGTTGACCATATGTACACACCTCGCTGTTGTCTGGTTCCGGGGACTGTTGTCTAGGATGAAAGCAACCAACAGTGTAACCACCATGTTCAAGGACATCAGTGCATTTAGCGCGAAATCAATCTGCCGTCAGTTTCCCAACAAAAAAAAATGATGTTACGAATTAGGATAGTGTGTGATTTGGGTCGATTCCAAATCCACGATTCTTTGAGTGGAGTACCAAACATTGACATTCGACGCAAACGCAAGATTTCAAATGACATCTTATTTTTTCCAAGCATAATGATAGTGTATTTGATGGATGCGCAACGGGGAAATATTAGAATCATGTTTTTATAACTTTATGTTTAGGTAGGTGAGATATGATGTATAACCCACAAATCAAGAAGAAGAAGAAGAAGAAGAAAAGTGACTTACTTGTGTACTCCCAGAATGGATTGGTCCACTTGAAGCAGCAGCATAAGGAAGAAGATAAGGGGGCAAAATTAAGCTGGAGACAGGCTGATACTGCTGAACATAAGCTGGGATGGAGAAACCAAGGAGCACTGAAACTCCAACAATCATAACGTTTCGGGAACTTGTTGTTTGGGTATATCGTAAAGTTGATAAACCCAAAGCCAAAACTAGTGCCCATATGAAGCACAACACAGCAGCAGCCAATGCTTGTGGTATAGAAGCAAGGATGGCACACGCTTTACCTATCACATACGGCAAAGGAAATTGCAGATTACATAAAAGAACCAAAATCCCCATTTCCTATCCAAGAATCCAAGATATTTTCAAGAAACAATACTTTTTTTAGAAGAAGACATGTAGTTGATAAGTCTTTTTTAGTTGATAAATCCACTTTTCATTTTTTATGCAGATGGTTCGAACGTGTGTACCTAGAACGGAGAAAACAATCAAGAAAACTGAACCAAGTTCTAAGGCCCTCTGATTTGCTACCATGGTGACATCAATTGTGTGCACATTCTCTATCAATGTTGTTGCTCCAGTGCCTGTTCCCCAAAGCCCAGCCAGTACACTGCAAAACCCTTCTAAACCAATTCCTCTGCTCACAATGCCGGGAGTTGGAGGTTTCAGGTTGATTCTCATGGATGCAGAATGATAAGTACCAACCTGTTAAGTTTCACCCTGCTTCAGTTTCAAACTAAAGGTAAATTTGGACTTCAGGATCCGCAAAAAAACAAGGGAAAGAGAATAAGAAGGAAAATGTAGGGGAAGTTTGGAAGGAAATAGAACTTAGGGTTAAATGGAAATATTATTCACTTTTTTTACAGCTAAAAGACTATTTTACCTTTACTTTTGCACAATTCACCTTTTTGACATCTCTTAATCAATGTATTACACCACAAAGGGCAAAATAAAAAAGTCAAATATTTTTTCATCTTGTACTCAAAAGAGTGCCAAGTCAAAACGAGAAGAAAGATATGGGACGGAGGGAGTAGCAACTTTAAAAGTTATTTCTAAACATATCATATTAATTGGTTTTACAAACTATTATTACAACCCATTCATTTTCCTTTGTGTTCTTTTTTCCTTCCCTACCATTTTCTGGATTCCAAATATATCCTAAAAATTCCCCTAAAATGTACTTCAGAAAATGCTAAACAAGACTATCGATGAAAAAAGAAACACACACTCGCAAACACACAGCAGCAAGAAAAAAACAAAAGTATTCATAACGGGAAGTTGATCACTTACCGAATCAACAGTAGCAACTAGTGACACAATTATCATAACAAGAGATGTCCTAAGCCGGAAGATAGGCATACCCCACTGCAGAGGATAAGGGATTCTGAACCATTCAGCAGTTTTCATTGCATTAGAAACATCAGTCCGACAATGTCTCATTGTATACACATGCTTTCTACATGCATCGATAAGGATATTCGAACTTGGTATGTCAGAGCTGCAGTCCTTATAATTATATGCTCCCCCAGCTGTCAAGAAGAACGCAAATGCCCATGTAATCACAACACTTAATGGAACCTGGAAAAGGTTTTATTGTGATAAAGATGCAAAAGCTTATTTAGAGTGATCTCTCATCTAGCTTATAGTTAATAAAGGGAGATATTAAAAGAGCGCAAGATTCCTACAGCATAGATCCGAAACACTCTATGCCCAAAAATAGATATTCCTCGAAGGTACTGCAAGAGAATGAAAAGTCAACGACAAAAAGAAATAGGAACAAATTACAATGTCTATACTATATAGACCATTTAAAGTTTCTCACCAGCGTAAAGGCAAGACCAAGTAGTATCAGGGGAGAGCTTATTTCTATACAGCTACCAGCTTGTGGAAAGCCATAGCTGAAAAAAGCTAAGCCCACTGCTGCAATTGTAGGAGCAACCACGATGGGATTTATCAACCTGCAAGATGAGGTTCTTCAAATATGTGAAATTTAATTCCTAAAAGGAATGGAATGTTAAGAAATATATCGACGTTTAAGCTATTCTTGTGGCAAAAACTTGTTCACACAACGAAAAAAAAGTCAATAAGATTTTCTTTTATTGCTGTGGCCCATTGCAAGTATATATTCTCTGCTACAGAACGACCAAAGGTATCACATTTAGACTTGCCTTACAAAAAGAGACATCAAACCAGTGAAGCCTAAGATACTCTGGAATACTGAACCCACTATAATAGCACCTTGTAACTCCCTCATTATGTGCCTAAATTTCTGAAACAAGCAAGCAAAGACCTTTGGGTTAGTGGGAAGTTAATGAATTTCAAAGGAAAAAGTGAGTGAAGATGAAATGCAATTGAATAAGAAGGATCACTTTCATGCAGGATAAATATAGAATATTTTCAATATCCTTTTCTGAAACTTCGTTTCACAAAGGTATTCATTGGCTCTCATTTTGGCCAATAAAAGGTAAATTTTATGAATATAATTATTCAAAAAGCACAATGTGATATGGCAGCACCTAGATCATTAAACATACATTTTCAGAAAGGTTTCGGTACTCCTCAGAATTCATGATCACCAAAGCAGGTGCCAGATACACAAATGAACTTCCTTGAACTAGTGGCAGGTGTGTACCTAAGTATGAGTGCAATACTGTAGCAAGGCCAGACACTAACAACGTTGTGGAAATCACAGTAGCAGTGTCTTTCTGTGGCATTGGAAAATGGAAAGAAATGATATTATCAAGAACTAAAACTTTTTTTTTAAAACAGAGTAATGTACTAGGCTGGACCAAAAGATCCTTACGTCAGTTCCACCCATTGCAGGCACAATGATCAAAGGGATGAAAATAAGTGATCCGACCAATGACAAGAAGTGCTGCAAACCATAGTAGATAAGTGGTGCTGCAGTAAAGAGACCATGAAAAGGTCAATACTAGTATACTACAATATGATTTCTCTAGTGATGCACTAACTTGACATAAGTTAACTTCTGATAAATCTTCCACAATACAATTTGTAGAGAGAATGGAGGAAGACATAAATTGTGATTTGTGAAGTAACTCTTGCAGAATCATTAATCTATAAAAAGACGCTTCCCTTTGGCTTTTTTAGCCTTTATGGCTTAATCCCACGAAAGAACTTTGAATATAACCATCCAACAAATTTGAGTACAAGATATGGGTTGATTGAAAGAACTATGCTTATGCAATCAAACAGATATGACAAAGTGACATTATGCATACAATTTTGAATTCTCCTCCTCAATGCAAATCTCATAGGATATTACTCTTCTAATGAAATACAAAACCAAAGGCAGAAGATGAATAAAAACAGGCAAAGTATGAAACATAGAATAACAACAATAAGCAAAAAAAATGGAGTACAATGATTGTCTCTTAGTCCACACTTAATTCTCGGAGACTGTTGCGGCATGTCATAAGCTGTATGATCCTCCCAGTCAGGGAACACTCTAATCCCCATTTCATGATCCACATTCTTATCATCTTTCTTCGGACCCAAACTTGAAGCAGTGGGCTGCACTTCACTGGAGTTACGAATTGGGGTCATCCCATTCAGACCATCGTTGCTCTCTTCATCTTCAACCCTCGATTCCTCCACTAGCTCAACCCTATTCCCTTCACTCTCACCCCCCAAAGTCTCATTTCTTTGCTCGTTAACGTTTACCCAACCGGCAGGAAGAATCTCAACCCCTCTACTCCTCTTAGTCCTCCCCAAAATGGGGTCAAGCTCGATCTTTGGAGACGCAAAATCAAGCTTGTCAAAGCCCCTCTCGAGTCCGACCCGTGCATTAATACTGGAGCCCAAATCCCTCCCGCTCAGACTTGCCGGGTCGGTCTCCCCGGAAACATGGGACACAAATCCGGTTTTCTTGGCCCATGATTTCAACTCTCTTGGATCGTAGCCTTTTCTTGGCACGAATGGCTCGATTTTGGGCACCCCGGCGGTGCTGCTGCCCGGTTTCTGACCCTTTTGCGCATCAAGCTTATCTCCCATCCCGAATTTTCCGGCAATGGGGATAGGTGTTCACCAAGAAATTCCACACAGATTCAGAGCAGACACAGTTTGATGTAGAGTAGAAGACGGCAAGGTGGGTGTTGCTCACTTCCCCACAGCTTGTTAAATAGAGCTCATACTCTATTAATAGAATAAACAATTACGGGGTAAATAAAAAATTAATTTCATTTGAAACTATCACTTTGCATAATGAGTAAGTTTAATTTGTGTATTTTGTAAAAGTTTGCCTTGTGACTCTAGCATTAATAATGATACCATAGAAATATAATTAAGAGTAAATTTCATAAAAGGTCTACCGTTATAAGTCGTCTTACATATTTAGTCCATACATATCAAATATTACTAATTTAGTCCCCAATTATTATATTACTTTTTACGAATGGTTCTTTGTTAAAGTTTTTGTTAAAAACATAGATAAAATTGTATAATCATACTTTTCTCTCTCCTCAATTAAGCTTCCGTCCTCCGCTTGTACTCTTTCCAAAACTCGTCGCTGAGTTTGAAGGTCTAAACCCAAAATTGAAATTATACTCATCTCTCAATTATTAGTCTTCCTAGTGGAACCTAAAATCAAAACCAATAGGTTTTATGGATGAATTTTATCGGTTAGCCTCAAAAAATTACATAAAAAATAAACATTAAACCGATCCATGAGGGTTACTGGTTTCGAATTTTGGTTCCACCCATTCAACAAACAATTGAGAGAACAGTGATAATTTTAGTTTTGGGTTCAAAGCTTCAAACTCAGCGACAAGTTTGGGAAAGAAGTGCGAGGGAGAGAGGAAGCTTAATTGAGGAGAGAAAGGAGTGTGAATTTTCAATTTTATCCACGTTTTAACAGAAATGTTAACAAAGGACCATTTGTGGAAATGAATATAATAATTGGGGACGAAATTAGTACTATTTGATATGTATGGACTAAATATGTAAAATGACATATAACAGGGGACCTTTTATGAAATTTACTCTATAATTAATAAACGGAGACATGTATTTTGGTGAAATTAGTACAAACTATACAAAAATACTTCCTCTGTCCCCTTAAGATCTTCTCGATTTGACTCTTTGTGATTTTTAAGGAGCATTGAAAAAAGATATAAATTTACCAAAATACCCTTAATGAAAATAGATAGAGTATATTAAATGAGGTGAGTAAGGTGTAATAAATAAAGTAAGTGGAAATAGTTGTAGTATTTTAAATGTTAGAAAGGTTAATAAAAAGATCTATGATGGATAAATAAAAAAGACTAATAAGAAGATCAATGGGGGACGAAGAGAGTATAACCCCTTATTCTGAAAATTGAAACGGACGTCGACCCGGACGAAATACTAGGTGAAGGATTGATTAGTCGAACTCAAGGTCTATGACCCGGACGAAATTGAAACGGACGTCGACCATGATCTCATATTCATATTATACACTTTTCTGGTATTTTTTTATTATTTAATGATCATAAATATATTTAATATTTTTTAACAATAAATTTGAAATCTAATTTGGTTTTCCTTTGTGGATGACAAATCAAGAAACAACATACGGCGATTTCAAAACAAAAAAAGAAACATCCTACAATTCATCACAGAAACAAAATTTGAAAACCTATGGTAAAAACATCATATGGACATAAGAAATGAAACACTATGATCTATAGAGATTGTATGAGAGAAAGAGACTTGGGTGATGGAGAGTGAAAGGAGCCATTGACAGAAAACCATACAAAGGAGATTCAACTCTCGTGGATGAACCGCCACCGAGTGAAAATCATACAAAGAATGTATATGGATTTGTAATTCAGCTATACCATGAGTGAGAGGAATTTGGCTAAAATTGAAGCCCAAATTTTTAGGATTTCCAAACATGGCATTTGAGACAACTTATATTAGTTGGGACTTCCCTCTCAACAAGTATAATAACCACCATTTAACAACGTAGCCTAGAGTAGAAAAGCATTAATGCAGTAATAATGATATGTTTATATGGGGCATTGAATTTCTAAAAGGAATTAAAACCCATGCCATAAAAGAGCAAGTAAAATTTAATGTGAGCATGTAATTGACTGATTAGAAGCTAGCAGCTTACATTTTACGACGCAATGAGTGAATGGTATAGTACCTTCTGTCAAAGGAATACAACGGGCTTTAAGGCTCATAAGCTTGGGATCATCAGAGGAATCAGCAGCCATTTCACAATGCTTGGCAGCATCAGATACATCACACATCCATCCTGTTAATCAAAAGTACCAAGCACGACAGAGCATTTACAAACAGAATCACTTAATCCCAATATAAGAAAGTACATCTCCTTTCAACTGGAATAAACTCCAATGAAGAAACTCCAATTGCATGCCTTCAAACATATCAATGTAGCAACACTTTCTGTCATAAGATCATAGTGTCATTATGGCTATTGTTAAGCGGGTGTGGTGATTTGTTTGAACGGTTCGTTTGACAGCTAAATTGATTTTAGAATTTCTTTTTGTTCTTAGAGTTTCTATATTTTAAAATTATTGGTCCAGCAATAGGGAGAGTGGCCATGGAGAGGATGGAAAACACCGACAGACAGCGACTAAGGAGCTCGATCTTTTAAAACCTTAGGTCTGGCTTCCTTCACAAAGAAATCACAAATTTGAAAATAAATTGTAAGCATTGTATTTTCTTCATGTGTTATTTGATTATTGACTTTTACTTGGGGAGTTTAAGACAATAATAACCATACAGGAGATAATTGTTAGAATATCCTCTTTATAAACATCCCACAAACACAGAGAATACAAAGAAAATGTGAAAATGATTATTGATGACTAAGGAACGTGTATATCAGTCATTAGATCTTAGTTTGATTATTCTAAGTAAAGACAAATAACATATTACAATATGTGATGTGGTTGATAGGTCCATTAGCTCATATATGCTGGGTTTGTTGTGATAAATAGCTGCAAGTCATTCATGGCCGGTTTAATATTGTGGAGGGGGTTATGGCTTGGTGATTTGACTCTTTTTATGCAATAGATGTTAAGAGATCATTGTTTTGATAAAATAGAATTCTTTTTGTGCGTTTATTTTCTTTTGTATCATTTTCTTGCTACTCAAGAAAAAAAACCTTCACACACCACATAACAAAGCATTATTCTTTCAAAAAACAATTGTTGATATGAGGAATAAGTTAGAGATCACAGAAATAGAGAAAATGAAAGACTTTAGACAGTCATGATTGATGAATTAATAGTACATTTAATTTTAGCCTTTGCGAATGAAATGAAAATGAGAATTTAAGAGGGAATATGTTTTTTTCATAGTTCTGGCACAACCTTATGTGTTTAGAGAAACACCAGACAATATAAAGTGCATGTAAATATATTACCGGAGCTAAGTTCTCAAACCTCCGGGATAGGTAGATCACAGATTCAGTTGCACCAAGAGGCCGGAGATCCTGAAACCAACCAAGCAAAGACATTAATCTAAGCTAAGTTGTGACTGTATCTACAAACTTGAGTCTTAATAAAAGAAAAATGTACGAAGTAGTAAACAAAAAATAGAATTGCAAATGAATAAAATAACAGCGTCAGGGTAGCAGTCCACCAGTTGTCCTGCACAGCACTTTCTGTGTATCTTAACATCAACATCTACACTTGGGATGGTTGTTGAACTAAAATCTATCCATAGCCTTAATAAAATCTATGCATAGCCTTAATAAAACATATCAAACATAATTTAGCAGTTAAAATGTCTTGTTTTTTTATTACAACCAAGTCCTAAATCATACTAGATCCACATTATATTACAACCGAAACGTAGGTAGTTGCCTTTGATAAATCACATCATGAGATGATCTTCCTAGCTAGAATGCTCATTCCCAATTTTGATTGTGTTAATGTAATGAAGTTTACACTTTCCTTTTTTGTCGATTTCAAAATAAACTTCACACTTTGAAACAAAGATTTCATTTGAGTTTTTGGATTTCAAATCACAAAAAAGAGCTATATGAATTTGTAATTAAGCTTAACCACAAATTAGAGAAATTCAGCCAAATTCAAATACAAATATTTAGGATTTCCAAACATGGAGTTTGAGTAAAATTTGGATTTGAAATCCAAACATGGAATTTGAGACAACTTAGATCACATGGGACTTTGCTCTCAAAAAATCCAATAACCAGCATTTAATAACGTAGCCTAGAGTCGAAAAGCACTGATTCAGTATATAATGATATGTTTATACGGAGTATTGAATTTCTAGATAACATACAGCGAGAGCCTAGAGTGGAAAAAAACTCGTGCTATAAATGAGCAAGAAAAGTTCAACGTGAGCATGTAATGGACTAATTAGAAGCTAGCAACTTACACTTTACGATGCAATGAGTGAAAGTCCTGTCTGTCAAAGGAGTAAGACGGACTTCAAAGTTTGTAAGCCTGTATTCGGTCATCTTCAAACGCTTGGTATCATCATAGCAATCAGCAGACATTTCACAAAGCTTGGCAGCATTTGATACATCACACCCATCCTCTAAATCAAAAGTACCAAGCATGACAGAGCATTTAGAATGACAATCTGTGAATCCCAATATGATAAAATATTTTTTATCCTTCGGCTGGAATAAACTCCAACGAAGAGGCTTCAAAAGTTCGCGCCCAGGCAAATAACTGGAGAGACCCTTGTCGAAATGAACTGGAAAGGATTCAAAATTCGTGGACAAGAAATTAATCATGGAATCACCCCTCATCGGGTCTAGCACCACACCATTAGCATTTTCTTCGAGTAGATGGAAGGACGGTCCACAAAATTGNGGCATCGTACATAAGACAGGAACCGTGAACGGCATCAAAGAGAAGGATTTTAGAATCCCCAATAACGGTGTGAAAGGAGATGCGCAGAGTATCCGATCTTACCCACCAAGAAGCTGGGGAGCGCAGCACTTTCCATCCATCACAATCAGGGGTGAGGACCTCAAAAGGGTGATACGAGTAAAGGTCAGGTTGAAAACCCCATTTTTCAGTGCCGGGGCTAGAAATCACATAGAGTTTACCGGCAAGAGCGAAAGCGTAAGGTAGGAGAATTGAATCTGGGGCCAGGAATCCAATCATAGCCTTCAGGGGAGGAGGAAGAAGACTGCTGGGTTGCAGCCACGTCGCAATAGAAGACTGCATTGCTGCAGCCGAAGCCGGAAGGGCACCCGATGATGTAGATCTTGGACCCCAAGAGGACGCAGTTGAGCTGCCGAGTCATTTGCTTCATCCCGAAAAAATTGGATGCAATCGAAATCAGTAACGTGGTAGACGGAGGAATCCCTTGTATCGGCGAAGAAGACCTTGAGTAGGTCGCGTGATTGGATTGCGAAGCAAATCACACCGCCGTCCTTGCACCACTTCTCCCACGCATCGCTCGGTAATCTATTCACCAGGCAAGGCTTCTTTTCATCCGCACGACTCTTCATCATATCATGATCAAACTTGAAACACAATTCATCATCGTCAGGCCCAGGATATGTACCGAAGGATGGTTCTGTCATTGTTTCCACCCCTGTAATTTTTTAGTGCAAACCCAAACCCTATCCCCCACCTCTCTTTCTCTACAAGTTCGTAGCGGAGGATTAAAAAAAAGGAGGAATGAGAGGGTAGGAGTACCCAACACCATCAATCTTAATTCAAGGATCCGGCTAAGGGCAATTCTAGTGTACACCTACCCATTTGTACCTCCAAAGCAACAGAGAAAAGAATAAAAATAAAAAAGGAAAGAAAAATATTAGGGGTAGTGGTACACCAAATGTATACTTCATTTGTCTCTCACCCCCTCTTTGTCTACAAAAAAGGTAGGAAATTCAAAAAAAGAATAAATAAAAATAAAATTAAAATAGGTGGTGGAAAAGGGGTGATGTACATTTGGGTACACCAAAGCTCAAAAGGAAATGGAGAGTAAAGATGCATGTATGGGTGGACACGGTACCGGTACAGTATCGTTACCGACGATGATACTGTCGGTACCGCCATTGGAGACGGAGACGGACACGGTACTGGTTCCGATGCTAGTTTTTCGGTACCGGCATCGGCAGTATCAGTTCCGGTCGCGACCGTTTGAATTTTTTTTTCTTTTGCTTACTTTGTCAGCCTTTTGGCTTTTGCAGGTGGGAGACTCCTCAACGGCAGTACCGGTTCCGGTACTGATCTTCCTAGCTAGAATGCTCATTCTAGGTTAATTTAATCAATAAGAAGCAAAAATATCCACACCATGAAATTTTGAAAAAGAAAAGAAAATCTTTTTTATCAGCCGCACTATGAGACTCTTTGGTGGTCCAACAGCGACAGCTGGGGGAGACTCCTTTAGTGCTCCAACCGTGGCAGCAACGGCATGGGGAGAGGAGACTGCTTGGGTTCCAAACCCTGTTTCTCCTTTTCCATTGATTGCTTATTGTCATGCATGGATGCCCAAGCTACAACCACATCATCATTCTTCTTTAACGTTTTTGTTTGCCTCTTTAGTTTTTCCATTCTTTTCATATGATGCAACGAAGTCTCTTGAAACTTCAGATTGATAACCTACAATAATTTTTAAACATAAAAAACACTTAAAAATCAAAGAGAGAAAAATGATACTTGAGAAGCATTATATATAGTTATCATATACCTTGATGTATTTATCAAGGTCAAAATCTAGAGCAGAGTCTTTAGGTGTATCCTGGAAAAAGAGAAGCACAGACCAAAACCTATATAAAAAATCAAAGATACAAGATACAAGAAAAAAACAGATACCCAACAAAAATATTATTCAGAAACCCTAATAAAAATCAAACGCCATGATTTGTCTAGATCATCCACATAGAAGAAAAATACATTTTTCAAAGAACAGATTTTGAAAGAGATAATCACATTTTGGGTGACAAATATTCAACTTACACCGGTCAGAATTTGCTTATTGGAGTCGGTCTGCTTATTGTTGTGGCCAGACATCTCTACACTCCGGAATACGCCAACAAAATGCTCTGACGACAACCGTGAACCGTAACGTTCTCTTACCAACGTTATGGTTCACCGTTGTCGTCGGAGTGTTTTGTTGGCGTATTCCTGTGTAGAGATGTCTAGGCACGAGGCTAAAACTTTACCTTTTTTTGTTTTTTTTTTTTGAAAAATGATTAACAAATAAATCAAATTTTAACTTTTTTTTACCTTTCCCCGAATCTTCAAAAGTCTCGGGCTCACCCGCCGCCTCGTCAGCGTCAGTAGGATTATTTCTCTCCGGTGTAGGCTCCACGTCCATTTCTGCTTCATCAATGTCCTCGAGTATATCTTTAAGATTGGGAAGATTGGCGTCGATCTTACCTCCCAAATACTGTTCGAATTCTTGATTCGTCAGAGCGTCGCCCACAAATTGGTCAAGAATAGTAAGGAAGGAAGAGACGAAGTGTCTTCCTTGATAACCACGTGAGCTCGAACTGTCGGAGGTAGCTTTAGTTTTACCTTTCCTCAAACTTCTGTTCACAACGTTCATATCCACAGACCTTCTACCGGACTTTTTCGACATTTTAATATATTTTTATTTTGATAAAAAAGGACTATATTAAATATTTAAAATTATAATTATATTTTGAATTTCAAAATTATAATACTCCGTATTAATTTAGAACAATATGATATACTCCGTATTAGTTATATATGAATGTATGACTAAAAATTCAATATTATATGACTGCATATTTATATATTATATAATATATTAATATATATTTATAATTTTATATTATTATATAATATAAAATGTATAAAGAATTAAAGATTGAAGAGAGATAATAGAAATTAATAAAGATGATTAGATGAAGGGATTGTGATTTGAGAATGAGAAATGAGAGTGTGGTTTTTTTAAAAAAAGAGGGAGGGTTATTTATATAGATAAAAAAACCCCAAACCTCTCTTCCCCTCCCCCTCAACGGTATTATAGTTGTTTAAGGAGCCTCCCACTTGCAAAAGCCAAAAGGCTGACAAAGTAAGCAAAAGAAAAAAATTCAAATGGTCGCTACCAGAACCGGTAGTGTCTATGTCGGTAACGAAAAACCAGCACCGGAACCGGTATCGTGTTGGACGGTATTGGTACCAGTTCCCGGAACTGCCATCCTATGTCCGTGTGTGCTCCGATGGCAGTATCGACAATATCGTCGTCGGTAACGATACCGTATCGGTACTGTGTCCACCCCTACATGCATCTTTACTCTCTATTTCCTTTTTTTATTTGGGATACGGGTGTACTCCAAATGTACACCACCCTCGCTCTTTACCATTCATTTTATTTTGTTTTTATTTTTTACTTTTTTTTGAATTTTTCTAGCGAATGTTTGGGATAAACTTTTGGTGTACTTTTGGCATTTTCCTTTTTATGTTTATTCTTTTCTCTGTTGATTTGGGGTACAAATGGGTATGTGTATCATAGATGGACCATGCTACACACCCCCCACCATTGCTACCAACCTTGCCTCCACTCATTTCTCCACCACATATTTATCTCCATTCATTCTCTCTCCACCCTCTAATTTTATTTTTCTTACCTCTAATGTTGATGTAGGATTACCCTTAGCGGATCCTCTCTACACTCCTTACCTCTCTCCACCCTCTCCACATAGGATTACCCTTAGCGGATCCTTTTTAATCCTCCGCTACGAACTTGTAGAGAGAGAGAGAGGTGGGGGGCTAGGGTTTGGGTTTGCACTCAAAAATTTCAGGGATGGAAACAATGACAGAACCATCCTTCGGTACATATCCTGGGCCTGACGATGATGAATTGTGTTTCAAGTTTGATCATGATATGATGAAGAGTCGTGCGGATGAAAAGAAGCCTTGCCTGGTGAATAGATTACCGAGCGATGCGTGGGAGAAGTGGTGCAAGGACGGCGGTGTGATTTGCTTCGCAATCCAATCACGCGACCTACTCAAGGTCTTCTTCGCCGATACAAGGGATTCCTCCGTGTACCACGTTACTGATTTCGATTGCATCCAATTTTTCGGGATGAAGCAAATGACTCGGCAGCTCAACTGCGTCCTCTTGGGGTCCAAGATCTACATCATCGGGTGCCCTTCCGGCTTCGGCTGCAGCAATGCAGTCTTCTATTGCGACGTGGCCGCAACCCAGCAGTCTTCTTCCTCCTCCCCT